TGTCTCCTGTCTCTCAACTGGCCTCATCTCTTGTCTCTTCTTGTTCATCTCAGACACCGACGGCTCCTCTTTTCCATCACGTCCCTTGGCTGCTTGGCTCCCCCAAGTTTTACCAGCCCTGCCTGGAAACTCATGGTGCAGATCTGTTGACGACTTCTCGGCGCCAGGATGTCATCCCATCCCATCTTGTGAGCCCATTCCAGAGAGTCATTCGTCACGCCCTCTCTCTCACACCTCTCAGTTCTCACTATGGAGTATACACATCAGCCTCCGACTAAGCCCCGACTGCGATTGTCGCGGTGGGCTGCGAGTTGTTAGGCAAAAGTTGCCCTCAGATGTTTGTCCGATATAGGAAACTCTGCACGTGAGACACTCGAGGAGTAGACCCAGAAAAGCCCCGGCAAGAAGAAGCGGAGAAGAAGCAGAAGCCGACTAGAAGCAGAACCAAGCAAGGGCAGATGGAGCCTCCAGTCAGTCACTCACTCAACCAGTCACCCATCAACCCCGTGCTACCAAGCCTGCTAAACCACCAAAGACAGCTTGGCTAACCCTTCTCTGCAGAATCGCAGCCAAGCAACCGCAGCCAAGCCAAAATCAACGACAGAATGCCATCCACTGCCGTGGGAAAAGGGGACAAGTGTGTCAGTGCTCTTGGCTACTCTCTTGGCTTTCGACGGCTTGTGCCTGTCCCGCCAAGTTTCCCCTCTCTCCGCGCCTCCAGTCAAGCCTCCCCCGCGCTTCTTCTTCGCGGGCTTCCCGGGAAGCCTCCCTAGACACCAAGAGTCAAATCGAGTTAAGAATTTTCCGACTGGCAACCCTGGCGCCAGACCCCGGGAGGCTCCCGTTTCACACAACCCAAATTTCACAAATGCCGGCGCCCCATTTTGACGCGCACCCCACGTCCATATGGACCCCTTCGCGCGCTTGGCAATGACCCGATGGAAGATCGACTGTCGTCTCGTTTGGGATATTGCCCATCGTCAACCATTATCAGTCCTATTTGCCAAGCGCGACGGATGTGAAGCTGTGCCGAGTCAAGACGAAAGGTTGGATCAGCCACCACCGCTTACTTACACCTACAGAGACAGAGTAGCATCCACGCCATCCAACCCCATCATCAGGTCCCATACAACTTGTTTCTTATCCGTCAGGTCGAGCCGGGCTCTCAGACTTCCCGTCTCGACTCCCTCCGGCAAATCATGCTATAACAAACAACATCGGATCCGGTCAGCGGCCGGGATCATCGATGCTAGACACAAGTTGGGTCTCAGGCACGCCGCACCGCACCAAGTTGCTCGACTCGACTTAACCGCGGTCGACTTAGCCTACCTTTCCGCTCCCGCCGTCGTCCTCGCCCCCATACGGATACACACGGTTGTTGCCCACGGTGAACCTTGTTCCCGTTCAGGTCCTCCCGCTTCCCGCTTCCCGCGAGGCGGACGCTAAGGCCACGTCCCCCCATCACGAACCCACCAAGGCTCAACCCTCAGCTGCCTCATCCTTGGCAACGTCTTCTATTTCTGAATCGGCTGGGTGGCACAGGGACCGCTGTCCCATGTCAACGTTTATTCTTTCCCTACCCGCTTCTACACGGGCTGCATTGCGCGGGCTGTCATAGGAAGCATATTAAAGCGAGTCGAGCCCAGACTTTGACCAAGATTTCCCTTTCGCCCATCATCAGAGCGTCTGTTGTCGTTCTATGCTTTTATCGCCCGTTTCTTCCTTCCGTTTTTTCCTTTCTCTTCGTTTCCACTCCTTTTTTATTTTCCTTGCTCTCAAACCTACGACAGCCGGGGCCAGATCAGCATTTTCGTCTGTTCTCTAACTGAAGCTGCGGGACAGCTTCTCATGTCCCCTTGTTCTCAGTTGCCTTCGCTTTACGAATGAGTCCTTGTCAGTAGGCGGCCCCGGATTATTTGGCTGCCTTTTCCCTTCTCGAACCCTCCTTATCTTTTATTTCAGGATTGCCAATCAAGCAGCAATCCTCTTTTGAGCGACAAATACCGGATTTTTTGTAATCAAGATGGACGGAATGAAAGAGCCCAAGCCCCAGTGTGGCGCTAAGAAGGGTGGTCAATCGGCTGAGTATGATGTTGGCCTTCACGTTGCTGGTCTTTGTAAGTTGGCCCCAAAACACTTTCCACTGGTGTCTTATTAATTTGGCTAACTTGGCGCAGTTTTGGTCTTGGCCTTTTCCATCTTTGGTATGCGATATGAACAAACGAAACGAGTCCTTTCGCGGGTCAACGTACTAACAAGACCGTTCCAGGCGCTGGCTTCCCAGTTGTGGCCAAGAAGGTCAAGTGGATGAAGGTTCCTCCTAAGGTCTTCTTCGCATGCAAGCATTTCGGTACAGGCGTGCTCATCGCGACGGCGTTTGTGCATGTAGGTTGTTTTGGCTCATTTGGTTGCACAGAACTAACACGGCACAGCTGCTTCCCACCGCCTTCGGCAATCTCATGAACCCGTGCCTCCCGGATCTCTTCACCGACGACTACCCACCTCTTCCAGGTGCCATCATGATGGGATCCATGTTCATTCTGTTCAGTATCGAGATGTGGATCAATGCCAAGATTGGCGGCCATTCCCACGGAGGACCCACTGGTGATGTGATGCACGACCACGGTCACGGAGCCGTGCAGCCTGCCCGGCCTCCTCGTTATGGCCGCAACAGCTTCGATGCCGAGGCAGACAGCATTGACTTTGAGAAGCGAGTCGCTCAGCGCGCGTACGACGACGAGAAGTCACGCTTCCCTGCGCCTTACTCGGAGACTGTGTATGGAGCGCCACCACCCGCCAACACCAACTTGTCCGACTCTGACATGCCGCCTTGGTTCGTCGTTTTCTACGAGCAGTATGTGCGCCAGCGTATGGAGATGATGAACATGATCCGAACCACCCAGGAGAAGCAGACGTCGTCGCAGGTTGCTGTTACGGAGGTCAAGCAGGAAGATCCGTTTTATGATGCCGAGGGTCAACAGGTTGACCCCGCTGTGTATCGCAAGATGTCTCTCAACATTACCATGCTTGAAGGTGGTATCCTGTTCCACTCAGTGTTTGTCGGCATGACCATCTCCATCACTATTGATGGTTTCATCATTCTGCTCGTCGCTATCCTGTTCCACCAAATGTTTGAGGGTCTTGGTCTCGGTTCCCGTATTGCCGCTGTGCCGTATCCCAAGGGCAGCATTCGTCCCTGGGTATTAGTCGTCGCTTTTGGCACCACAGCCCCCATCGGACAGGCCATCGGACTTCTCACCCGCAGCAGTTACGATCCCGACAGTGCGTTCGGTCTCATCATCGTCGGTGTATTCAACGCCATGTGAGTTGTTCAGTCCGTTCGTAATAAACCTCGGCTAATGTGACTTAGATCCTCTGGCTTGCTGCTCTACGCTGCTCTCGTCGATCTTTTGGCCGAAGATTTCCTCTCAGAGGAGGCCAACCGCCTTCTTTCCAACAAGCAAAAGATTACTGCCTTTTGCTACGTTCTCGCCGGAGGTTAGTAATATCCATGAAACATTTTTGCATGTAAACACCACTGACATACTATTAGCTGCGGGCATGTCAATTGTCGGTATCTTCGCCTAAGTCCTTACCGATACCCCCAGGAAGCAAACTTCCTCCACACCCCTCGATCAGTCTCACGCGAGGGCACAAAACACCCAGTCCGGACCAGTCACGCAATCAGTTTACACGGCTCGCCGGAACGCCGAGGCTAACTTCAGCCGATGAACTCCGAACTCGACAGGACTTTGATAGCAGAGATGAACGCTCGTTATCTTTCAAATGCTGCGCCGGATTTTGTCTCACGGGTCGTGAGGAGACGGACTGTTTCTCACTACCTATCAACAGCAACTCTCACAAAATCTACCACATTCGTTTCTTTCTTGCTATCGCTATTCCCAGCACCATTTGTAGCCAGGGATTTTGTACAATAGTAGTGATGTGGCGTGCGTTGTCAAGACTTGTCTGACACGCAAGGCACAGCGAGTGCATACTGGCAACAGGCAATATTGTTTGGGAGATTTTACTTTTTCTGGGAAACTCTACATTGAGCATTACAAAGGTGTTAAAACTAATGATAAATTATGGGCATACAACATATCACGAGTCTTATGAGAAAAGCCGTGGAGGGCACTTGTACGATAGGGTTGCCCGAAAGGGTCGGGCATCACATTACTAGACTGCATCAAATATTACAACATCCTTATGACATTGTCAGTCCGAACGCTGTCCCCTGTGCCTATCTAATTCGATCGTTTCCTCCAGCCAGGGTTTTCTAAGCGGTCACACCATGGCTTACGGACCCATCAAAGACCGTCTCCGATCATACCACGAGAGACGATCTACAGCCCGTGTCAATATTGGGCCTTTGCAGGCTTGGAGAAGACAGATGGAGACGGAAGAGACAGACGAAAGGGATTAAGTAGCTGAACAAGAGCTCGATTAGACTTTCTCACCCAGACTTATTGGCGTCTGAAATAAAGTAGTACTGGTAACAGCGCGCATCGATAAGGAGGAGGAGGAGGAGGGATCGAGAGATAGAGAGCGAGAGAGAAACGGGAAAGAAAAGACAAGATGCCAAGCAGCTTCACAACAGAAGCAGATAGCGGAAACGAAAAAAACAAGACTGGGCAAGATCAAGAGAAGTACCAAGAGACCAAGAGACGAAAGGCGACGTTGAGAAAGGGTTGCCGAAGTTTAGTGTGTGCCAGGTATGACCCGTGATGCAACCATGTTTGCATGGGCGGTGTGGGATGTCAGGCTGCTAGACACGGCCGACCTTGGAAACGAAACCAGCCTTGCCTTTTTTTTTTTTGGTCATTTTTCCTTTTCTTGCTTTGCGTGTAGGTACGTTGTTTTACGCTTCTCTGTCTCTCTTCTTTTTTGTTTCTCTGTGTCTTTAGACCGTGGACGTGACTTGCCGCCGCCTGTCCCTGCATATCAGAGATGTCAGAGAGAGGGGGGAGGGACCTAGGGTGTTATGTTTTAACCATGTTCTATATAAGGTTATTACACGGGCCGGAGGATTGCTGCATTGTTGAAAGGCAAGGCAAGGGCTGGGGGAGGAAAGGGAAGAGGGAAAGCGGAAAGGCGTGTTTGTGTGCAGTGGTGCATTCCTGTGAGGGTGAGGGTTGGTGATGCATGCATGCATGCATGCAGGGCCGGGCTTCCCGCGCGACTACTGCAAGGGGCATGCTTCGCACTCCATGGGATCGTTGATGATGATTCTTCTTCTGCTGTTGGGTGTTGGTTGCTGCTGTTGTGGATGATGTTGCAAGGCAGGCACCCTAGAGTTGGACATGGGAGGGTTGTCGAGGATGGCTGAGGTAGCGGGGGTTCAGAGGGGGGATGGTGTCACTGGTGAAGCTATTAATATGAACCCCAGACAGACATCTGAGGCGGCGGAGGGGAGGCTCAAAACTCCAGACGAAAAGAAGGAGGTGTAGTGTAGGGCCAGGGGGGGGGGAGGGGGCACGGAGAGTTGGGTTACATGCGGACGGATGAATGGGGGAAAGGGGGGAACGTTGGTTGGGTTTGAGGTTTGGCTGCGCTGCGCTGCTGCAGACTGCACTGCGGAAGTATGCGGCGCACAAGGAAAGCGGCGAGCGCTTATTAGGCAAGGTAAAGTCACGATGACGATGGACGGATGGTGGTTGTGGTTCTAGAAGTTTTGAGTCGTTGTTTCTTGTTGTCTCTTCTCATGCACGCTTTGCTTCTTGCCTTGAGGTGCGCATACCGCATCTCTGCAGATCTTGCCTTACAGCAGTAGCTTGCCTTAGGTGCATACCTGCATCACCTGCAGAGGCACAGACTACTGCAGGCACTCGCCGGCGGCCGAATGCACCGCGGCTTGAACCTTTTTGATCCTTTATGAAGAACAAAAAAATGAAAACGTCCCGAGAGGCGTTATGCAAAGAAGGCATGTGTGCAGTAATCTCGTGATGAGAAGCCTAGGAAGGTTTTCCGACGATCTGGGGGATACCTAACTTTACAGAGGGCTATGTAAGAAAGGATAAAAAGAGGAGGGGAAAACGTGAGATTGGCTTTGCTTGGCAGGCGTCACTTTTTTTTTCCTTGCTAAAAGAGGGATCGAATCTTATACGAGTGCCCGATTCTGAGGTTAACCTCATGGAAGATGAAAAGCTTATGAGATGCTTTTTGGGTGCTTGTTTGGAAGGATGAAGCGGGAATCCGGAGTTTGCCAAGGATTCAACTGTCTCTCAGCATGGCCACAATACGCATCGTGCAGAACTCTCTCCCCACACACATGAAGTATGTGACTAGTACGTAAAATAGGGCGAGCGAAACGTTTCTGTACATGAGAGGAAATGGAGAATAAGTAAAGAAGTGAGGGAAAAAACGACGGAAATAATGGGAAAATCTCGATGACTGACCAAGACCGTGCATCTATCCTACATCCGTTATTCGGTTTCCTTCGGGCGGTTTGAGGGCTGTCTGCGGTATGACTATGACCTCCTACCTAGGACACCCCCCGCCCCCGCTTCCCTTTGTGCCAGGATCGAGGTTCGAAGGTTTCGAGTCGAGCGCGCCAGAGAATGAGAAAACAAAAGATGGGCAACTCGTCACGAGGCAAAAGGTAGGCAGGCAGGCTGAAGGGTGTGTGTATCGGAAAACGATGGTGAGATGGGTGGATGGATGGTGGGCACTTGCTTTTACAAATACGAAAAGTCTTGGCACGTGTATGATAATCGCCCGATGAGCACGGAAACCGTTCGTAACGACATATTACCTGTACAAAATATAAGACAAATATTCCAAAGAAGCAAACGTTGACGACAAATACAATTCGAGCAAAAAAGGGGGTTGCATTTCATGTAGTACCAAAAGATAAAATGTCATGCGGCTTACGACGACCAAGTCGTGCCGGATGCAACGGTATAGTACCTCAGTTACTGTGGTATATGGCTGGCCCTCCGAAAGGAAGATTTTCATCCGGTGTTCGAGCCAGAGATCCGGCCAACCATCCCCCGCCCAGGCAGAAGGCTCGGGCTGGTGACACAGAGATCGGAGGCTACAGAGGGTTGGTGTGTGGCAGTGATGGTGTGGTGTGATGATGTGCTGATTTGACGGGCATCTGACAAGACGAGAAACCTGGGAAGATGGAAGACCTGCTACCTCTTGTTCTGCACCGACCATCAGCTAGTTACCAGAGGGAAGGGGGGAGGGGGGTGTGTGAGAAACGAAACAGAAACTCGAACCGGGAGGTCGAGAGGCCGCATGGACGTTGTTAAGCAAGGAGAGGACAGAAAGGTTTGCCTGTGGGAGGAATGTTGCATTCCGTCATTTTTCCTTCGAGGTGTGCGTGCGAGAGTGTGCGAGTGTGAAGTGTGTGTGTGTGTGTGGCAATTTCAGGCAAGACTTGCCTGAAGGGGCCTTTCGGTATTTCCTTCTTCGTCTTCTTCTTTTCTTAGCAAAGACACAAGACAGAAGAGAAATCTTCAGATGAAGAGGCGGGGCTGGAGGCTTTTTGCGATGAGATTTCCGAATCTAACCAGTCGGCAAACATGCTTTTTTTGTATTTCTAAAATAGCGTTTTATGTTGTGCTGCCCCATGGGAAAAGATTGCCAGAGGTCTTGTAAAGTCTACTTTGAGAGACACAGAAGTGTTCAAGATGACACGTTTTTCGTCGGCAGGTGCGGAAGTTCGTGGCGTGCCTCATTTGGGTGAGGTACTATCATCACACTCGTCGAGATAGCAGAGCAGATAAGTCGAGACGAAAATTCGCTCCCGATATAGGCTGAGTGTCAAACCGTTCGGTGACGTGTCTGCCACGGCTTTTCTTACCCTGGGATAACAAGCAGTTGATATGATCTGGCTCAGTAGCTCCAAAGAGGTTGGCTTGTGCTCTAGGAACTTTCTGCTCCGTCTTGCCAGAGTTCCCCCTTCGAAGTTCAATGTCTATACTGGACAGAAGCAGACCTAATCTGCAAAGTTCAATTGGCGTTGCGTAGAGTGAGTTCGCAGATGGAAGGTTTGAACGACTTTGAATGGATGTGATGATGTGGCAGAGAGGAGGGCAATACACTTCAAGACCATGATCATTGAGTTTTCAGACATCAACTTTGACATCAACTTTGAAGAAGACAAATCCTTTGCGCTCGTTCAACAGCCTTAGCCTATTGTGCTATTGCCTTCAAATATGACACAGAACTAACCCAGGTGAGATGAGACTGCTCTGCCGTTATTTTACTTCTAAACGCTTCGGGGAGGATCGCCGAGACTAGAAAGCAAAGAGTTGGGCAGACCGTTCCTAGGTTTAAGCAGTAATATGGGTAACGCTCTTCTTGGAATTAACTCTACTCGTCACATAGTTTGGCGCTTTGTTAAGTGTCTTCTGAGCGAGTACTCTAGTTCACTATTGTTCGGCGACGTGGGAGGCTAGTCGGTCATCAAACTTGTCGTTGAGTAACCCCATATGTCATCTTTTCATATCAACCATTACACAATATGTACATAGAAAGCGGCCAAAGGTGGCCTAGGCCATCGACTGCCGTCGAAAAAACTTGACCGTAAAATGCCCTCGGGAACTGCAAAAGACAAGCCCCTTAGACAACCGTCACAGTCGCATTCCCGCGGAAATCATCGCTCGAAGACCCGACAAAGACGGTGAAATCGCCCGGCTCAACGACGTACTGCAGCTTCTTATCCCACAAACCCCACGAGGAGACGGGCAGGTCAATCGAGACATCAGCGGTCTCGCCGGCCTTGATGAAGACCTTGGAGAAGCCGCGCAGCTCCTTGTTGGGCACGACGATGGAGGAGATCATGTCCTTGACGTAGACCTGGACGACCTCTGCGCCGTCGCGGGTCGAGTTGTTGGTCACCTGCACGCTAAGGGTGACGGTGTCGGTGGGGGAGACGGTGGAGGCGGAGACGGAGATGTCGTGGTAGTCGAAGGTGCTGTAGGAGAGACCGTAGCCGAACTGTGGTTGGATTTGGGTTAGAAAGACTGTCAAGAAGGAGAGGGAAAAAAAAAAGGAGCTGTTAGATGTGTTCTTACTTCGTACAAGGGCAGAGGAGTCGACAAGACGTAGTTGCTGCCAAAGACCAAGGTCCCGTTGGCGTACTCCTTACCCGGGTTGGGCCAGGACCGGGCGGAGTTGAGATAATCGTAGTACACAGGCGTGGTACCGACATCATGCGGGAACGCGACGGAAAGCTTGCCAGACGGGTTCACGTTTCCGTAGAGGATATCCGCCAGCGCGTGACCGCCCTCCTCCCCCTGGTAGAACATCTGCACCAGCGCGCCAGCCTCGTCCGAGATCCAGGGCTCGGTAATAGGCTTTCCGGAGCTGAAGACGACGACAGTGGGCTTGCCCGTGTCGATGACGGCCTTGACGAGGCGACCCATGGCGCCGACGAGCTTGAAGTCGTGGACGTCAATGTGCTCGCCCGTGGTGGCGTTGAGGCCGGCCCAGAGCTCGTCCTGGTCGCGGGACCAGGTGCCCACGACGACGACGGCGACGTCGGCGGCCGAGGCAGCGGCGACGGCCTCGGGGAAGCCGGACTCGTCGTTGGACCAGCGCTCGGCGCCCTTTGCGTAGGTTACTGTTCCGGAGCTGGCGGCCTTGATGCCGTCGAGGGGGGTGACGCCGCGTTCCATTGCGGTGTGGATGACGTAGTCGCCGTACTGTGTGATATATTGTTAGCATGGGAAAGGCCTTATCGTATAAAGCTTCACAAAAACTTACGTTGACCAATCCGTGGGCCATGGGGCCGATGACGGCGACGTGAGCGTCCTTCTTCAGGGGCAGGGTCTCGTTGTGGTTCTCAAGCAGGATAATGCTCTCGGCGTCGAGGTCGCGGGCGATCTTGCGGTGCTCCTCTGTGTTGAGGTAGTTGAAGACCTCGTCGTCGGGGACGCCAGTGTATGGGTGTTCAAAGATGCCCGACTTGAACTTTGCGCGGAGAACGCGGGAGACGGCCGTGTCGACGACGTCCTCGGGCAGAGTGCCGTTGGCGATGAGCTCGGGGATGTACTGAAAGCTGTAGCGTCCGCCACCCATCTCGACATCATTACCGGCAGGGAGAGACTGAAAGACTGGTGAGCAGGGTGTTGTACTAGGGAGCTAAAGAGAGGTACGTACGTTGAGGGTGATGCAAGCATCATCGGTCTCTCCGCAGACAAAGAAGGCGTTGGAAAGACGAGCGGTACCGCCAGCATCGGACTGA